ACGACAGCGAAACGCCTCCATAGTAATGATAGCCCTTTAAAGTTAAGGGGAGGGAGAGAGAGAGAGAGAGAGAGAGGGTTGCTAAGAGCGGAATCTCCAGGCGAATAATACACGTCGAATCCAATTCTAACCCTCCCAATGCAAATCGAGACAGCGTAATAAATCCGACGCTTCGATCTAATTACAGGATGCGGGTAGAGAAGGAGATCGCCTAATATCGAAGTGCTTAGAAACGATGAGTGCCTACAACAGTCCCTTTTCCGAGCTTTCCGATCGATTAAACCTTTATTAGATGACCTTTAAAATATTTTCGAATATTAGAGAATTTTTTTGCTCTTTCTTAATTAAAATAAAATAAAAAATGAACGTACATATGTACGATGAAAACGATTATTTGAAATTTCCATTTGAATTGGATAATAAATTAGAAACTAAAAGGTTCCCTTCGCTCGTGTTATAAATATCTAAAGTACTTCTTCTTTGATCTTCTTTCGTAAATAAAAAAAAAAAAAAAAAAAAAAAAAAAAGAAAAGAAAAAAAAATGAAAGGAAGAAGATACACATAGAAGAAGAGGAAGAAGAATAAGAAGAAGAAGAATAAATCGGTGGTACGATCTAATACCAACCTCCCCTCGATGCAAATCGCGATCCTTTAACTAGCTGACGTTTCAGCCCTTCGCACTCGCCCTTCGTGATACCACAACTCTCAACCCCATCCTCCAAACGCGTTACTCCTTCCTTCGAGTTTACGCTCCGTGACTTAAATTAACCCCGTGTGGATCCGTCTTTCTTCTCTCTCTCTCTCTCTCTCCCTCTGTCTTCCTCCAACTCCAACTCCTCCTCCTCCTCCTCCACCTCCTCTTCTTCCTCTTCCTTTACCCTCGATCATCCCTTTCTCCGGATAACCGCTTACTAGAAACGGTTCATAAGTCAGCCACGAAAGCCGTCGGGAGTCTCTCGCTCTCTCTCTCTCTCTCTCTTTCTCTCTTTCTCTTTCTCTCACTCTCTCTCTCTCTCTCTCTCTCTCTCTTTCTCTTTTCTTGTTCGGCATGAATCCTCTTTATCGTCAAAATTTACTACGTCTATTCTAGATTTACCGGATATTCACTGATATATCTATTCATATCTACAAGATACTACGATTAGAAATTATTTATACTTATCTAGAAATTTTGAATCATGTTAAAAACATTCCTCCTTTGTTCTTCTCTCTCTTTCTCTCTTTCTCTCTTTCACAAAAACATACATTAATATATACTTTTTTTTATCGTTCTCGTTACAATTGTTCGTTGAAATTCAATGAAATGAATTTTGAGAAACTATGAATTTAGGGGATATTCTTTCGTCCTTTTACATGAAAGTTAAAATAAATTATTGAACAAAAAAAAAAAAGAAAAAAGAAAAATTTCCTCGTTGTAACATCGATACATTTCAATTTTGAAATCAATTATAAATTCGAGAAATTAAATGTAATGAATCGAGATTATCTTAAATTCGTTAAAAAGAAAAAAAAAACAACGAAACTAATGATATATCCATTCATAATAATCCTTAAGTTAAAAAAAAATAAAATCCCAAATTGTCGGTGTCCATATGAATCAATTCTAAATCGTCCTTTCTATCTTCCTTCTATCTTTGTCTCTTCTTTTTCTTTTCCCTTTAAAAAGAAAGTAATAAAGAAATAAAGAAATAAAGAAAAAGAGACCCTTTCACGCGTTTCTCATTGCAAAGAGAAAACGATGAAAGGCCAAGCTAGCATGGTAGAGCAAACACAATACGGTCCCTAAGGGAAAGGGACGAAGAGCAGAAAATCTAGGAGGGCAAGTCGCCGTTAGATTTTCGTCGATGAAGGCTCCCTTCTGTCCCTTCATTTCCCCTTACTTTCCCTTTCTCTCTCTCTCTCTCTCTTTCTCTTTCTCTCTTCCATGTATAATACACACACACACACAGACACACAGACACACAGATAGATTGCACGCGACGTTCTTGTCTCTTTCTCTTTATCTCTCTCTCTCTCTCTTTCTTTCTAAGGGGGTGAGAACGGCTGGCCGGTTCACGGATGAATGTCGCCAGAGTTATAATTGCAACGAGCCGTAATTAGTTTTGGAAATTTAATTATTTCCGCGCGGCCGGAATGCGCGATAAACGGAGCCTCGGTGTCGGCCGTCGTTTCGCGAGAATCGAAAGCCGCCACCGCCAGTGGCATCGTAGTCACCCTTTCGCACCACATCTCATTCCACCCTATCCCACCCTATCCCACCCCATCCCCCATTCTACCTCCCTTCATCTCCCACGCAAGAGTTATCGGCTGACTTTTACCCGTAACGCGCGTTAATCCTCCCTATTTGCTTTCTCTTTCTCTCTCTCTCATACGCACACGCACATACATACATATACATAGACACATTATCTATCTACATATCTCTCTTCCTCTTTTTAATTGAGATCGAAATATTAGATTTGACTTTCGACGAACGATGGGAAACTTTATATATACTTTCTCGCATATTCGATCGTTATACGGTACGGTATAAAAAGTTTCTAATGGTTTTTTTTTTACGATTTAAAAGAGTGAAGGAAAAAGAAAACTAAAGTATTACTTTATTATTTAATTTCTGAAAGAATGTGAGTAATGGGTTCAAAAAAAAAAAAAAAAAAAAGAAAAACGAAAAAAGAAAAAGAAAAAGAGAAAAAGAAAAAAAAGGAAAACAAAATCATTGGAGAACTTTTACCCCGACCTGTACTTAACGTTAACTTTTATATAGTATATATCTTATATCGAGTGTTTATAAGAGATCTCGTTCAGTTTATAAAAGCGAAATGTATTTCTATACCGTCGTTGTGCCCCGCTCGTTACGAGTGAACGGTGAGATTATCTCTAGTCTCTTTGCTCGATTACAAAATATTCTTACGTGCGTCATTGGTTCTACGTGGTATGCATATAAAACGTACCTCGACATATCTTTGGTGTATCATGAAACTCGATTAATCGAGTACTCGAGGAAACATATATATATATATATATATATATATATATATATTTATATAAAATATGTAACTTTCGTATTAATAATAATATCAGAAAGAAATCTCTCACACACGTATATATATATATATATATATATAAAATGCAACACGAGAGAGTTTGAATAATGATTTCCGAATCAATAATAATAATATAAAAGAAAAAAAAAAATAGGGGAAGGGAGAAAAATCGGTTTTAGATCGAATCGTCGTTTGTATACATACTTGGAAAAGAAGAATTAAGTAGAATGGAGGAAAGATTGGAACGTTTTCACGTTCTTGATAATGACGAAGGAAATTGAAAAGGGTAAGAAAGAACGAGAGAGACAGAGAGAGAGAGAGACAGAGAGAGAGACAGAGAGAGAGAGAGAGAGAGAGAGAGAGAGAGAGAACGCGTAAGGACACCGTGAAAAATTGATAGAGATCGAGAACCCTTAGGGTCTCTTGCAGTTACCGTCATCTTTTCAAATGGATCTTTACAAAAGCCATCCACCATCTAGCACTATCGTCGTTGTCGTTGTCGTCGTTGTCGTCGTCGTCGTCGTCGTCGTCGTCGTTGTCGTCAGGCCACAGCTTCTTCGCGTTTCAGCGAAAGTTTTGTTTGCCACGGTGATCTCCTCCTGTGCGTGGGCCTTCACAAGTTCACCCTTCATTCGTTCCTCCCCTCGTTCCACCTTCATCCTTCTCCCTACTCCCTTTACAACTTCCTCCCTTCTTTCCCTTCGCCACCGTACGCCACCGTCTTCGCATGAATCTTTAAGAGCAGTCGCGAGAACGCCTTCGATGCGATCTAACGGCCCTTTTGTTCGCCGCGTAGCCCTTACTAAAGGTTCGCTGCGTGAGATATACATAGACATATATATATATATATATATATATATATATATATATATATACATATATATATGTATATATAGCTTTAGGAAATGCCATTCGTGCGATTGCGTTCCTACACAAGAAACTTGCCCTTTAGTAGAGAATCTACTTCAAATAATATATGATACCACTGGCATCCATGCCGTAGAAAATTAAGAGTTTTTAAAGGTTTCAAGAGAGAGAGAGAGAGAGAGAGAGAGAAAGAAAATCTGATATTTAAGGTAGAATTTTAGTTTTTTGTCGTTATTCAAGAAAATAATTCGCTTGGGAAATATTTAATGTGAATATTTTCTCTTGTATGAAAAAAAAAAAAAAAAGAAAAAAAAAAAAGAAAAAAAATACTTATAACAATGCAGACGAAAGATAATAAAATTCGTATGAAACCACGAAGTTATTCTCGGATAAAAATATTTTAAGTAGAATAAAAATAAAATAAAAAGATACAAAGGTAAAAAGTAAAATAATAGTAATTTTTCCAAGTTATCTTCAGAAATAAATTCTTCTTCTTCAAAAAAAAAAAAAAAGAAAAGAAAAGAAAAAAATATATCATCACTCTAAAGAGATCGGATCAAAGACCAGAATTCTTTGTACTTTAAAGTTAATTTAAGGAATAGATGAATCTCTCTCTCTCTCTCTCTTTCTCTCTTTCTTTATCTATCTATGTCCCTTTCTTTCTTTCTCTCAGAAACGATATTTTAATCTCGTCACTGGGCCAATGCAGTTTGCACGTGAAAGAAGAATTTTACGATCGGACGATCGAAGACGCGCACCGTCTTCTATAATTAAATATCCGTTCTCTTCCTATCGGTCTTTAGGTCCACGAGAGAAAGAGAGAGAGAAAGAGAAAGAGAGAAAGAGAGAGTGAGAGAGTGAGAGAGTGAGAAAGACAGAGACTGAGAGGCAAAGAGGATGGAAGGGAGGGTGAGAGTGAGAGAGAGTACCTTCCAGAGAGTCAAAGGAAGCTAATAGCTTTTAGACGGTTTCGTCTTTGCTCGAACTGAGAAATATATATACTTACACTTATATAGACACACATATACACAGATGTACATATATATATATATATATATTCTGTCTAACCTATTTTCTTCTTTGTTTCAGCTATTATGGCTCACTTCTTCTTCTTGGCTGCTTTCTTCTGGCTGAATACTATGTGCTTCAACATCTGGTGGACCTTTAGGTGAGTACCAGAGGAATCTTCTTCATCCTTTTAATATACTTCTAAGAAAATCGAAGATCATTATTCATTACATTAATACTCTCCCTTAGAATGCCATAACTGTTTCCCTTTATCTAATTTTTGTCTTTTTTTTTTTCTTTTTTTTTCTTTTTTCTTTTTTTTCTTTTTTAACACGAAATATTGGATCGTACAGTATTAAAAAAAAAAAAGAAAAAAAAAAGAAGGAAAAGAAAAAAAGAAAATCTTAATATTCTCTAATTTAAAAACACAAGGAAAACAAATAAAAAAAATAAAAAAAAAAAAAAGAATCTTTAAATCGTCCGTCATCGAAGGATATTCGCATTTAACACTACTCGCACAGTTATATATTCTAAGAAAATGCTTCCAGGCGAATCTTATTAAGGGAGCAACCAGAGAAAGAGAATGAGAGAGAGAGGGAGAGAGAGGGAGAGAGAGAGAGAGAGAAGAGTATTCATGTTGGAGGCCAGATCACGTTCGAGATTAAGTTCTGTTCACCGCGATAGTATGTGTATGTGTCTATATATGTGTGTGTGTGTGTGTGTGTGTGAGAGAGAGAGAGAGAGAGAGAGAAGGAGAATATCGAGGTGAGAGATGGGATCAAGATCACTCGGTCGACTGGTTAATGCGATGCAACACGGTCGCCATAACGGGTCCTCTCAACATCTCTCTCTCTCTCTCATTCTCTCTCTTTCTTTTTCTCTTTTTATATTTATTTTCTTCTTTTTCTTCTTTTTCTCGTCTCCTTTCTCTCTTCGTCGTGTGCTCCTTAAGATATTCTCGAATTCTCTGATTCATCTGATAGATAGATCTCGATTTAATAATAATAATAATAATAATAATAATAATAATAATAATAATAATAACAAATAATAATTAGTAATAATAATTAGTAATAATAATTAATAATAATAATAATAATAATAACAATAATAATAATAATAATAAGGACAAAACTCAATCATAAATGTTATTTTAGCAATCATGGTTATTATACGGTATCAATTTTTATCGGATACGCATGTAACTCATGGATTGGGTTAATTAAAACGACACAACGAAGATAATAACGAATCGTTATTTGTATCAGAAAGTATTCCCGTACACAAATTACAAATTTATACGTTTGCTCTTTCGATGTAATTATAATTTTCCGTCGAACTAAGGGTTGGTGAAAGAGGGTAGTAGCACGTGAAATGTGAACTGATTAAAAGTGGTAATAGAAGAATATTTCGTATAATTTATCATAGGATATACGATCGATACACCGATAATGGTGAAAAAATTTTTTTTATATCATTCCTTTCCTTTCGAATCGTATATCATTTAATTTCTTTAATCATCAATCAAACGGAGATTTGTTAAAAAAAGTTTTTTTTTTTTTTTTTTTTTTTTTTAGAGATCATCTTGATCAATCTAATTCATACTTATTACGTGTTTAAATTTATTCTTGAATCATTTATAGAGAAAGTCTCTTGGATAATTTTATGGATTATTTGATCGTTTTTCTTTTTGTTTCTTTTTTTTTTTTTTTTTTTTTTTTTTTTTTATGATATTTATGAAATATGTTAATCAATAGCGTGGAGAAGAGTATAAAATTGATCGTAAAATGATCAATAAGAAATTAATTAAAATCTCATTGGTAGATTATCCAAGATAAGATAGATATTGCATTAGATTATAGGTTTCCTAAAGAAAGAAAAAAATTCACAGGAATTGCTAACGAGTGCAAATTTCACGTTTTTCTTTTTTTGTTTTTTTTTTTTGTTTCCTATTTTCGTTTCTTTCTTTTTTTCTTCTTCTTCTCTTTTCAATCGATACCTCGCGTGTGTCCCACGAATGCAGAGGACAAGCGTAAAACGTATAAAACGAAATAGAAGGGAAGGCGACATATGTATGCGTGTTATATATATATGTATGTATATATATATATATATATATATATATATATATATATATATATAGGTATATACATAGATATATACGTGAATATACATAGATACGTTGAGAGAGAATATGCTCGCGGTTGAAATGTCAGCGACACGTGCGTGCGTTGTATCCACTTGTTGAAGTGTCAGTGACAGCACGTTCACGGTTAACCTTCCCTCCTCTCTCTTGCTTCGCTTTCCTGATTTTCGAGCTGGAAAATTAGCTTCCTCGTTATTTGCACACTCGAATACGGTGACTTCTTGGCCAGTATTCAGACGAAACTTATTGTTAGTTTAACAAATTTTTCCTTTCTTTTTTTTTTTTTCGTTTGTTTGTTTATTTGTTTTAATTATTTCATCAACGTCCTCCAATCTTTATCCTCGAGTTTTAAATTTATTCATTTATCTTTAATTAAAAATCTGAAATGATTCTGTGACAATTTATTTATTTCTTTTTTCTATTTTTAATTATTCAATTTTATTAGTCGTTCTTTTTTTTTTTTTTTTAATATAAAAAGTCTTTAAAAATTGTTTTATTGGCACGATCATTTGATCTTTCATGTAAGAAAAAAAGCTGAAATAATTTCATAATATATCATCTAGAAGATTCTCAAGGAATTTATGAAATCATGTTAATTAACGGCTTATGCAAGAGTACGAAATTATCAATGAAAATTTCAACTCATTCACCGTTATGTTATATTACTCACGTGAGACTTATAGGCTCTATTATGCATAGGTTCTTTTTTTTTTTTTTCTTTTTTTAAATAGTTTCACTATAAACGAGTTCACACATATCTCTCTTTCTCTCTCCTCTCACGCGTTTAAATACGTTCTGAGAAATCATTAAATTACCTAACGTACTTACTTCCCACGGTCGACGAGTACGTTCGAGAGAAAACGAGAATTATAAGAGTGTTATAGTTAGATACGTGGCTGATGTTAAATGAATTTTCACTTTAAAAATTACCAGTTATATTACGTATCAAAACTTTATTACCAGATATATATATATATATATATATATATATATATATAATGTATTAGTAATAATTGATTAAATATTTTTTCAATGATTTTTCTATAAGTAACACGAGCGTTCAATACCCTTATCTTCTAAGATAAATATATAAATATATATATATATATATATATATATATATATATATATATATATATGTATCTATGTACAGAGGAATATAATATTAATCGAATTATAAAAATAGATTTGTAAGACGTCTCTACTATCGACAGTTTCTCTCACTGGATTATTCTCATCGATGCCAAGTGACCTCGTTGTAGGAATCTAGGTTAGCAATGTAAATTTAGAAAATGACATGTTGTATCAAATTAATCAATGAAGGTACCAAAAAGTATTCCATTTGAGATTTAAATTCTATTTAGGACGATTAAATAGAAAGATTTATTTTTGGGAAAACAAATTTCGTTAACTTAACAGGTGAAATTCAACAAAGTTGACTTATACTAATGGTATTGGACTAAACTAAGAGACAAGGGATAGAGAAGTTAACGAAGAAAGTTAGCCAATGAAAGAGACAGAGAGACAAACAGAGAGATAGACAGAAAGACAGAAAGATAGAGAGAGAGAGAGAGAGATTAGTCCAGTTGTTAGTAGTCTTCGAATACAGAGTAACGCGTTAATCGTAAGCAAATGCGGGATACCTAGCATGATGGTAAACCAAAAGCAACGACCGCAGACGTGACGGTTGGTCGACGACTAGTCTAGTCTAGTATAGTCTAGTATAGTCTAGTGTAGTCTAGTCGTCTCTTCTCTAAGTCTTACTTCTATTACTAACTACGTTTCTACCTAGCTAGCTAGCTAGCTACCTGACTCCTCTAAACTATATCTAGATCTATTCTATGTAACAGAGATACCGAAGAAGTTTCTACTATTCCAATGTCCCTATATCCTAATCCAAAGATCCACTTGGTCCTAACGTTATATGTGCGTTTCTTCTTCAACGATAACTACAAATCCCTCGAATGGTGTTTCGACTCGAAGTTTAGCAACGATTCTAATCGGATTTCCTATCTATCCGATTAATACCAAACATTTTAATCAAGGATATTTGTGAGTAATGAAAAAAAAAAAGAAAAAAAAAAAAAGAAAAGAAATGAATTTATTCATTTTCATATTTTATATTTTTTCTCTGTTTTTCTCTGTTTTTCTTTTTTTTTTTTTTTTCTATCTACTTGCGACATTTCATTTTCATTTTGAACGTATTTTCTAAACGTGTTTTCTAAATGTTATAAATTATAAACGACACTTTTTTTTTTTTTTTTTTTTTTTTAATATCATATACAATTTTTAAGTATAAACAAAAATTTTTTTCACTCCTTTTATTATTATCATTTTTTTCTCGTATTCTTCTTGTTTCGAAACGCTTCGTATATAGTACAGTATTTGTATAATTAATGTATCTTTTATTTTTTTTTTTTTCTTCTTTTGCACATATAACTATCGTACTTTATTGTATACTTGTTACTCGTAAAGCTACTATTGAATACTAGATGGGAAGATAGCAAAAGAGAGAGAGAGAGAGAGAGAGAGAGAGAGAGATAAAAAGAGAATTTCATTTTATTTCTTCTTATTTTCTTTTCCAAGATCGCAGGTTAATGACTTTCCTCCAACTGGTTTCTTTTCTTACTACGTTCCGCTTCTCCTTTCTCATTTTTCCCGGCAGAACCGCTCGTTACGCGTTAGATAATGCATGCAAATTACGTTAGCGTAACGTGACTACCGACCGTGGAGGTTCTCCCATGCCGTTTTCGACGCTCGAACCTATGCTAAACGTTATAGTCTTATTCTTTACTGTGAAAAGCTTCTTCATGGTATTTCTTACGTCAGACAATTCCGCAAATACTATTCGTATATTTATATATATATATATATATATATATATATATATATATATATATATATATAGGCATATGTGTATATATAATCTATAAATTTCACAAAATTCTCATCTTCCTTTTTCTTTACAATTATTGTATATACTTTTATTGGACCATTTAAAAAGGACAAGATAT